AGGTCATTCAAGCATACCTTTTCTATAACACTTTCTCAATCTACATCCTCATATTGCTTTAGAGAAAAAAAATTATAAGCAATTCCGATTGCTTTTTCTGTTCAAAATTTAATATCTCTATAAAAATTTGTATTAAAAAAAATTTCAGAACATTGATGATTATTACATTTAAAAAAGGAAGAAAAAAAGTGACGAAGATAGCAACTGCTAAATGGGCCGGAAATTCATAAGTTGACAGTTTATTTTGTTATCTTTTCAATAGCGTTGTTTTTCAATTCATTCATCGATGGAACTGTAAAATTTTGTACATCCATTCAGGCAGAACTAAATTAGGTTCTTTTTGATAATACAAATTCATTTGATGATGTTTTCCCAATAAGAAATTTTACAAGTTCAACAATTTTCAAGATAAAATTGCATTAAATTCCCTTCGGAAATTTCCCTCTGAAATTACTTATATAAATATGCATATGACATTTATGGCATTATATTTTTTAATATCACTCATATTTGGCGACTGTTAATTTATATCATCGAAGATGAGTACCATCGGGTATTACGATAATATTTATCATTGTGATACGACTTAAAAATTATTTTATATAATAATTAACATTGCTAAATGAAATTAAATTACCACCGGAGAAATTGAGATCTGCTTGCATTTTTGGAAGAAATGATGTAATTCTTTAGAAAAAAATGTTTCAATAATAAATTATTCCGCTACCGAAATAATGTTTGCATGAAAGGTGGCAATTATAATTCATCTTGAACTTCTTATTTAAAATTTAATAAATTAGCAACAGTTATTATAAACTGCGAAATCCGGCAATTTAAATTTATTACTTCTTCAGTACAAAAACTGAATCAACTAAATTATCAATAAATTATGTTGAGTTAAAGTGCACGTATGGGAAATGAAACAAAAATTTAAATCAGTTTATTTAATTTCGATATTGAAAGCTTCTAAAATAAAAAATTTGCATTAGTTATTTTAATTCATCTATTTCAAGTATCCCATAACAATTTCAGATTCTCACTTTTCAGTTTTATTTTTTGGTTTCCATTTTTCAACATGAAACGTGTGTAAATGAAAGGTTTTCTATCATTATTTTCAAGTTTGAATGAAAATCTTCGTATTGTCTCAAAAAACGATTAAGCATTTATTGCCAATGAGGTGCTCTGATACGAACTAACAAGCCAAGATATATCGGGACAAGAATAATGTATTGATTAGAATAATCGGGACGCTGCCGTTTATTTGATAAATTGCAAAATGTTCTCAATTTGATACATCACTGATAAGTTTAAGAAATGGAAAAAAAACAATGTTTACAACTATTAACATGAATGGTGAAAAATGACGGCATACATTTAATATCACTTCAACTTTAATATCACTTTTTAATCAAATGATTGCCTGAGCAGATATCACATCAATAATCAATCGGTAATCAAGTGATTAGCTGAATACATAACAATAGGTTGGATATCAAATAAAAAGCAAAAACTTGAAGTTTCAAAGTTCCTAAAAAACTTTCTTTCTTTTAACATTTTTTCTTTCGCATATATGAAATCAAAAAATGCAAGTGTACACGTTTGTGATGCACGCAAGAAATCGTTTCCTAAGCATCCAATTTTCCATTGATATTTTTATTTACTAATAAAGGAAATTTCATTACTGTTCATTACTGGAACATATCTGCTCAGTTAAAAAAGAATTAAGAATTTAGAATATTGTTGAATTGATTTCAAATTATTTGAAAATTATTACAAATGATTGATATTTTTGAATTTGCTAAGGAGCGATGATAATATTTCTTAATAAAATTTTACGGAAAAAAATTGCAAAAAACTATCAACAACAAATAGTTCGAATCCAGATTTTGAAACTTTATTTTATCACGGTCGGTTTAAATTAAAATGTAAAACGCTGTTTCCCTTTTTACATTATGAAATAAAATAGATGCATATGTGGCATAGATTATATTCTACCACTATCGCATATATCTTTTGCAACGCAATTTTAGATATCATCAATAATGATCATTCATTTGACCTCTGGATCCTTTAGTTGCTCCTAATCCGATTTTCGCTCCGTGCTATTCTTTCCACTCTATTCAGAATACTGATAACTCGTTGACTCACGACGTCTTCTCGAGAAATTTTCGGCGATTAAAAGTTATTTGAGATGACTATCACTGATGATATCTCAATATATCTTTTTTATTCATTTTCTATTCCTCGCGTATTATTTTCCAGACCATCCGTTAAAAGCAACAGTTTCGAGAATTTTCTTAATAGTCGTTTATTTCGGTCAGAAATTCATCAAACTTCCTTAGTTAACATTGTTGTTCGATATTTAAACTAACAACAGATATCATTCTTTCTCCGGAGTACTTCGAAAACAGAATGTTTGCCTTAATCCGAAACAAAAAAATCTCGATCACTTTCTGACCGAGATTTCTTGTCTCGGAACATCGTTCAATGCCGACACTATCTTAATCATTAAGATAGAAAACAAAAATCGATACATTATCCTTTATTCGTTCATTACAGAGAAAAATATCAGATATTTCGGTGATGTGAAATTAATTACTGATCTCTTTTGGCATGATCAAATTATCAGATTAGAAACAAATTTATTTGAAGAATGAATGAATAATTCTCTTATTCTTTCACTTATTTCATTTCCTATTTTTAAGTTAAATCTTTTCTAATTCTTTTAGATAGATAAGCTCGAATGTACTGTTATCACTCATCACAATTACATATTTTGAAATGATAACTTTTTAATTGATTCCATTTCTTTCAATACGTTTTAATATAACTTATTACTATTTCTCAATATCAGTTTATATTACATTATAAAATGTTATGATCAAAGGATTTTTGTATTTTGAAATCTATGTTATAGAGGCATTGCTTACTGCTGCAAGCCCTCTGCAATCTGCTATATTATTTCACCATTGACACTCCTCAACGAACAATCTCAACTATTTCCCTGATCAACGGTAAAGACGATCAATCAATTGATCGATTCAATTAACTATATTTTCTGATAATTGTTTTACAAGGAATTAAACAAAATCTCCATAAAATAATAAAATCTTCACTACAATATGACTCATGCCGAACTAAACCTTCCTCCCAAAAAAAAAAAAATTCCTACAAAGAAAACCATTCCCAACAATTTATTTTAACAATTTCAAGAAAAAAAAAACTTTCCATTTGTAAATGTAAAAATAAAAATAAAAAGAAATTTAGTGAATAAATTGAAACTTATTGTTGTTTACTGAAAATTTTTTTCATACATTTTGATGAATACAACAACTTCAATTGCTGTTATATTAGCCGAATTTCGTACAAAATAGATTGTGTACGAATGATTATGCGCAAACAAAAAAATTGATCAATGATTTTGGATGAGGAATATTTCTATTCGAAATTTAATTATCATTTCCTTCTCTCATCATTATCATATCATTCAATTTTCAAATTCGTGATCATCTCACTATCTAACCTACAAGTCGGAAATCATTCCTATCAGCTAGTCAAACAAACTTATTCCTTTTAGACCATATCATGAAATTAATTGTTCCTCTCTGTACTATGAACCTTTGTCTGTCTCTTTGCATAAATAAACGTTACCGCCAATCTCCTCTGTATGTCTGTCTGTTTGTTTCTCTGTACATGTATGTCTATGCGTGTGTGTGCATGTCTGTGCGCACGTGTGTCTGTGCATCTGTTTGTGTGTGCATGTATGTATGTATGTATGTGTGTGTACATGTGTGTGTATGTGTGTGTGTGTGTGCGTGTGTGTGTATGTGAGCGGAGGTACTCTTCATAGATGCCAAAGCTATACGAATAAGATTGTTGTGTACAAGGGTATGCTGCTACAAAGTGACCAACCATCTTTCATTATTTTTTTTCCTTTCTTCCGTTCTCTTCGCAGTTTCCAATTTTTTTTNTTGTTTATGAAATTGTTAAATGCATTACACATATTGCTGTATTGATGTTAAACTCTATGCATAACGTATCATTAATGTTTTCAATTTTATATATTTTCATTCGTACGTGCAAAATCAGAAATTTTTGCAAAAAAAAAAAATCTTTAAAATTTATAATGATTTAGACAATAAATAGAATGATGGTTGGTTATTTTCTGCTATCGGCAAAATTTTAATAATTGGTATTGATGATAAGAGCATATTAGACATTTGAAATTTAGATATAGAATTCTTTCGGACATTACAGTGACAGTGAAGATGAATGATGCCAAATGGTTCTTTTCAGGTATATTTGTAAATTGATGGTTTGTATTTTACAGTGAAAAAACGAAGTGAGAGAAGTTTAAGAGAAGATTGTGAAGGGACATTTATTCAGATGATTGTCTATTTCCTATCTCGAGTGTCACTTACTTCAGTTCTCTTGATATTCTATGATAGCCATTTATTGCTTAAATTTATAAAACAGAAAAGTGTTTTCAAAAATAGAATATACTACTGAAGAATAGCAATATTTATATCATTTCCTTTTTCTGAATTAGATCTCGTATAATTTCAGATGTTTAATTGTTTACTATTTATAGCAGAACTGATTGGACGATGATTTCAAATTTCTTTTTTTCCTACGATAATATAATACTGAAAAGAGTTATATGTTGAAGAAAGTTATGAAATTCTATAGATTTGATTTCCATTTTGATTAACAAAAATGTGTTTTGGTTAGAATAATTTAAAATTCACAACCCAAGTGCAGTTACTTTTGTATCAACTTAAGCAAGTTGATTGGGGTTCTCAACATTGAAACTGTTTACTCATATTTTCTTTCGGAACTACTTACTGCTTAGCTCTTGTCATTTCACTAATGTTTGGGGTACCGTCCGATTTCGCTATATATTTTGTATCTTTCATGTTTGACGCGTTCAGCGTGGTTTAAAATTTCAGTACTGCTTCAAATTTGCATATCTGCCGTGAAACACGCACGTTCTGTGTACAATGGCTCTTGCTACAAAAATTCGTATTTGTGGAAAATATCATTTAAAAGTATGTAGCATTGATTTTAATTATCATTGAAATTAATTTCAACACTCCTTGCTGTATACTCTCATGGAGTCCCTTTCATAAAATTCCTTTGATTATCTGTTTGGGATAAATGCTGCCATGATGATTGCACCGCGAAAAAATATTGTCTGCATTTGATAACATTTCTGATTCTTGAAAATTTTATCGATATATTTTTAACAACTACAGGGTTTGGCGGCATGCCTTCAATATTCAACAGTAGCTTCAACAACAAATCTCAAAGAGGTCAGTTCTTCCATCATTTTAATATTTGCAATTCAAAAACCTGGGCTGTTTTAATAGTATCTAAAAGCCGGATTCCAGGAATTTTAGTGATATTTCATATCTAACCGTCTTCATTTGAATAGTTGAAATGAAAGCGGTTTTGCCGAATCAGAATTATTGTTCCTAAGGCGCACGTTTGGCAGATCAATAATTTTAACTCTTACTATTAAATTTCTTAAAATTTTAAAAGATTTGCGATGCATTTGTCTGGAAATAATCGTTTTTGGGAGTTTTACTTCGCCTAATTACTCTAGGCACTGGCGCAAAAAATTTCACTTCATAACGAGAAAGTCCGAGAATTTCGAAAACAGCATGGTTCAACGGTAATTCAAAATGTAACTGTGGATATGCTTTATGGTGGAATGAGAACTTTGAAGGTTTTTTTAAATTTATATTTTAGCTAAGTGTTTTAAAATTTTAAAAACATGATAATGATCATGTTTTTAAAATTTTAAAAAAAGTAAAGGAGGTTTTTACAGTTACATTTCAATATTCCAAAGTCCTGTTATAATATATGTTTGGTTTGGAACGGCTTCCGTTAAAAATAGTTTATTGATAAAAAGTTTGCAAATGTGCTGATGCAACTAAACATCAATAATTATGAATCTTAATAAAACTATAATCTTAATAAAAGCAATGATACCTTTTATGAAAATATTGAAATTCATAAAAAATCTCAGAAAGATTTTTTCAAAACAAAAATTCGATTAAACTAAATTATAGGCGCTAGTAACTGAGACATCAGTGTTAGATCCGGAAGAAGGTATACGTTTTCGTGGTTATTCTATACCGGAATGCCAAAAAATGTTACCTAAGGCAAAAGGGGGTGAGGAACCACTACCGGAAGGGATTTGGTGGCTGTTATGCACTGGTGATATTCCCACTGAAGCGCAGACTACAGCAATCAGGTATTTCGTTACTTTTATCAATTTTTCTACTTCTTATAGATAATTTAAAACCGCTTTAATGTTCTTGAAAGTGCACTGAATTACTCAAACATAATGTTTAGAAGTGCTATTTTCTGTGATTTTCGATATATACTCCTTGCTGATCTAGCGGTCAATTCTTGTTCTTAGAGAGAAACTTTAGGAACCTTATGGAGTTTTGTATCGTACGATTTTTCCTTTCTCTCATCTTTTGTTATATCACATACGAGTGTCGTAGCGGAAAACTTGGTTGAAACTTAAAAGACAGCGCAGAATTTTGAGAACATTTCGGTTCACTTAGTACTGATGTGAAATTCTTCCATACACATTTAATTAAATTTTTAATTTTTTCATAATTTTAGTAAGGAATGGGCTGCTCATGCGGATTTGCCGAAGCATGTCGAACAAATGATCTGTAATTTTCCGAACAATTTACACCCTATGGCGCAATTTGTTTCGGCTATCGCTGCTCTTAACTGCGAAAGTAAATTTGCCGAAGTATGTATGAACAAAAGTTCTTAATAATATTTGTTTCTGTTTAAATATAAATTTATTATGATGAATTTCAATGCTCTTACAGCTACTTTATAAGCTGGCTATTTGTAGTTATGAAACAGCTGAGAATTTTATATTTACAAAACTGATTTATGCAAAGCAGTAATGATGTGAATCCACAGCAAATGAAATAGGGAGATCTTTGATTCGAAATACGGGCGAAATAGTTAGAACGAATGGCACGTGGGTTACTTTTCATCTCAAACCGGCTCTTCCTTTAATAATTTTTTTTGTTAACAATATTTTTTAGGCTTATAGTAAGGGAGTAAAAAAAGCGACATATTGGGAGTTTGTATACGATGATGCTATGAGACTTCTTGCAAAATTACCTACAATTGCTGCACTTATTTACCGAAATTTATACAAAGATGGTAAGTTTTTGGACAAGTTAAATAAAACTGAATCAAATCATTTACTTTTGAATCGAAAGATTATTAGCATAAAATAGCATGTTACCTTGTCGAAAATCAAGAATAGGATTTACTGCTCTATGTTATTAAACGCAAAATTTAATCAATTTTTGAGGAAGTTCATATCTATTCAGTGATTGCTAAGAAAAATTAATTTATGAATTTATGAAATTTCTCGGGAAATCGAGTTTGGCAGTTTCAGGTACATTAGCAAGTGTAGTTAACTCATCGGATGATTGGTCTGCCAATTTTACATCAATGCTTGGTTTCAAGGATCCAAAATTCACTGAACTTATGCGCTTATATCTCACAATCCATAGCGATCACGAAGGCGGTAATGTTTCAGCGCATACGTCACATTTAGTCAGCTCTGCTTTGTCAGATCCGTATCTGTCGTTCTCCGCTGCTATGGCTGGGCTTGCTGGACCGCTGCATGGCCTGGCTAATCAAGAGGTTCACTTTATTCAGTTAATTATGGTGGATGTATTAGTTATTGCTTTAATTTGCTTGCTTAACCAATTTTTCTCTACATCCATAATCTTATGTCCATAAGAGTTATTTTTATATCTAGCCAGGTAATTGAATGAATTTTCCTTATTAATTCCTTCATTAGTTATTTTTCCTCAATGACTATTCAGTCATAAAGAGTCTCGATCGATTATTTTATTTTGTCCACAATTATCATTTTATTAACTTTAGGTGCTGATATTCTTAACAAAATGCAGAAAAGAATTAGGCGATAATTACACTGATCAACAGTTATGCGACTGGATATGGAATCATTTGCAGAGTGGGCAGGTCAAGTTTTAACATAATAACCTCTGAGATGATTCAGAAAATATATATCAATGTTGCCGAATTTTAGTGTAACATTCCGAATTTTAAATATTGCTATTTCAGGTAGTGCCGGGTTACGGTCATGCTGTGCTGCGTAAAACAGACCCACGATACACCTGTCAGCGAGAGTTTGCCTTGAAACATCTTCCGAAAGACCCAATGTTCCATCTTGTTTCGAAGCTCTACGAATTTACGCCTGATATTCTTTTGAAACAAGGAAAGGTATGATGCAATTGCGAAAATTTAAAAAAGTATCCGGATTCTATAATCTAATTTTTTAGAGAATTCCACGTTTGCATGATCTTCCGATATGTTGTTTCCTGATATGTTATTTGAAAAGGAACCATTAAAGTATATAATCGATTTATATGTTTTGAAACAAATGCACTAAATATGAATTATAATATGATTATTCTAGGCTAAAAATCCATGGCCCAATGTGGATGCGCATTCTGGAGTTCTGCTCCAATATTATGGTATGAAAGAGATGTCTTTCTATACGGTGCTTTTTGGTGTATCACGTGCACTCGGATGTTTATCGCAGATGATATGGTCTCGTGCTATGGGCTTGCCACTCGAACGTCCCAAATCTCACTCAACTGATGGTTTGATAAAGTTGGTTGATAAAAAGTAAGGGAGAAAAGGAGCAGGAAGGAAAAGTTGTTATATGTTTTCTAAAGCTGTTTCTTAAATGCCTCACAAAAATCTCTATTTCTGCATAAAATTAACGCATTAGCTGTTATCCCCAATAATCGCTTCTGTACAGATTTCTTGTTTCGCTTTCACAGGTGGTAATCTGTTCATTGTTTTAAACATCTTATAAAGAAAGCTGAGTTTTCAGAAGCTCTGAAGCAACAAATTTTTATCCATCTCTTTCTTGAGAAACTTTCAGTTTAATGGTTTCCCAAATTTACTGTATTCGGAAAACTGGTCATTTTTTATTTCATTTTGGAGTGTATTAACACTAATTATTAGAAATTAAAAATGATGTTCCTAGAATTGTTTCTTAAGCACGAGTTTCTCAGGAACAAAAAATTTCAGGGGTATCGCTTCAATTTTGATCGAATGTTCATATAGGAAAAATTGCAATATTTTCATTTGTTAATTATAACAGTCCAGATGAATGTAGAAGAATTAAGCAAAAATTTAAAGAAAAAGGAAGAAATAAACTGATTTAGAAAAAAAAAAAAGGGACATGTTATACCTTGTTTTCAGCGATCTTGAGATATTAATGCTTTAATAAAATTCTGGGAAATTCAGGATTTTCCAAGCTTATGTCTCTTTTATATATTATGTCAAGTGCATTAGAAATTATGATGACTTCTAGCAAGCAATTTATTGATGGACGTGAAGAAGAGTGCTGTAGCTAAGGGAGCGATATCATTTGATTTTTTGAAATGTACAAACTTTATTGCTGTTTAATTTCCGTCAAATATGCTATTTAAAAAAAAAAAAGAGTATTCGAATCTGTTTTTTTGCGTCTTTTATTTCCACTTTCTTTCTAAATGTTAAGAATTATCTTGTAGATTAAGGGAATTAGTTCAAGTCTTTTGTTTAGCCTTATGCATCTTCACTCAAAAAGTGGTTAAGTTCCATGTTAACAACGTTGCATATTTATTTCAAGGAAAAATATATTTATATATGAACATATGTTGTCATTTACATAACTAATTCATTGAAATAGATTAACATGTAGAAAAAATGCAAATGCATAGCTGGAATTATGCGTCTCGAGGCAGTTCATACACATCCTAGGTCGTCAAACTTGCTTTTTAAAAAAATCCGTTCGAAATTAGGCATAATCAAAAATTCATACAGTGATACATCATGGATAACTCAATTTCGGATTTGGAATTTTCTTTAAAATTCACTATATAACTACGGTCGATGTCGCTTAAAAACAAGTTAAGGCTTTAAAGAGAAAGCAAATGAAGAACTCAAACGGTAACAAGCAAATTTATAGGTCATAGTCTAGAAGATGTAAAGTGTCGTCGGTAATCATCATGTGGGCGTGGTGATGGGGGTCGCTGATAATAGCGGTCGCTACGTTTCTCATAAATATAAGCATCCACACGTTCTCGAGAATTTCCTGGTCCAGATGGCGTGGAATCTGGAACTACTTTTTTAAGTACGGTTTCGAAATTCTATGGAACCAAAAGATTCAATAAGAACTTGATTCATCTCAGTTTTTTTTCTTTTTTTAAAACTGGCATTGCTGGATTTTCGATATAGCTTGTGCTATAACATAATCGCAAACGCAGCACTTACTTTGTGGCACCATGGTCGCTTGGGGTATAGTAGGCTGCTGTTGTGCATAAGCATTTGTAGCGATTGGGTGACTAATGCCACCTTTGTTGGCAGCCGGATTACGTAACCCAAACCAGCCAGCGAACCAAATCCCAAGCGCACACATAAAGGGTATCAAGCAACATAGAAACAAAGCTACTAATAGTAGGATGATTAGGATTATTCGACTCCAATGACTGCAAATATGGAATTTCATATCAATAAAATTTCCGAAAAATATTAAGCAAAACGGCACGCAGTTTGTTTGAAAAACTATGACTTGGATTTCCTCTTATAGCAGTTTATACTGAAAAAATCGAAATAGCCGGTACAAAAAAGAAATTCTTCTGACATTTACATCTATCGTTTCCAATGATTTAAATTTAATAACTGTCTTTTTTACCAAATAATTGATAGTGATATAAATTATTTGCAAACATACAATCCATATCCGTAATAGTTATCATAACCATAGCTTTGCCATAACTGTCGTTTATTACGAAAATTTTCAACAATAAACGGTACAGCACTCGTGAATAAATGAGTTACAGCAGGAATTGTCATATTTGATGACATCAGTTACTTTTAGTTCACTGAAAATATGCGATTAGAAAATAAAACAAGGCAGTAGCAGAACGATTATGTTGATTTACACTTATATCTTTTAATGTTTTGCGAAAAGTTTGGATATAATCTATGTTGTACAACTGATCAGTATGTCGGTAGTCGTACATCAATATGTCGTGACAGTATGTATTACCATCTCTTAATTCGTTGAAAAAGGTTGCTATCAAATCATTTGTCAGATTATTGATAATTTGAGTGTACCTTATACTGTGAAAAGATTTTGTTTATCGTTTAGTTACTACCTGATATCTATCGTATCTACCTTCCCGATCCTCCTCCTTCCCCTCCCCCTCCCAATGTCAAATTTTTCTAATAAAATGATGAAGTGTGTTAAATGTTAAGGAAATGATATTTTGTTACTGAGTTTAATCGTATTGATTTCATGGATATTATCCGTTAAACTTTTACTTGCCGTATTTCCTTTCATAAATGCTCAAAAATTTTCACAAATAATTCACATATGAGGATAAAAAAAATTCTAGAAATGAATTTACTGATAAAAGTGAACAAAACATCGGCTTAGGTTCTTTTTCTTTTGTTTTTGATGTTTGATACAGTGATTCAGAAGATTTCCCGACAAACTGATCAAAAGTTGTGCAAAAACGAAAACTAACTCATTTTCCCCAGCAAAACAAATAATTTCGAGAAGGCAAACTGCCCTGAAAACCGGATGTAATCGTTTGTCAAATCAGTCAAAATGTTATCCAACTGTTCTTAATGCATTATCTAAGTAGGATTTGATTGGATTTCAAAGTTTAGAAGTTAGGATCAGATTTTCCAGCAAATAACGGTTAGTAAGAACAAATATACATTATATTAATTGTAGTATTTATAAAATAGGTATGAAAAAGGATATGACGGGCAGATAAATTGACTTTGACTGAGTGTGAAAAGAGAGTCCTGACATTGTTCAAACTGTATACAATAAACATTGCCTCAATGCCAAAACCAGTCCTTCACTGTATTCTATGCATATTGGATGATTCTGTGCATAAATGCATAATTTACACTCTAACAATCTATAGCAACAACAAAAAAAAAAGTACCATGTTGTCATAAAAATCGTGGCTTCCTATTGTATGAGTTTCATGTTTTCAAGAATTTGTTGATTAAATTTGTATATGTGTAAATACTTGAAATTGGATGATAATAACAAATCTGTAATCATGACAAAGTATACTTTAGTATTGAAAAATGTTATTGATTTCTGTCTTTAATATTATATCGCATTGAAAAGTTTTACGATCATAATATATTTACAACGTATATTTTACATTCCAGGCAGAATTGGAATATTTCGCTTTAGCACATTACTCAACAGTTCTTTTAAGCAATGTTTATAGCGCAAATTATAAATTGTCTTGAATTACAGAAAATTTGGCTTGAATTACAGATATTGAAACCATATATGATAAAAGAAGGCAAATAATAGTACTGCAATATGTTTATGAGTGATAAATGTGACATATGTTTTTTTTTTTTTCAACTACTTGATCTTAGAAGCAGTGCTTGAAAATAAAAAAAATAAAGAATAAAGAATGTGACATTGCACAAATGTTAAAGTCGATAGCACAACCAAATCGAACACCAAAAATAATGATTCAAAATATAAGTAAAATTTAACTGTCTGCTTTTTGGCTTTTTACGGTTGCAATTTTAAATTATTTTAACATAAACTATTTATTAAAACAAAAAATTTGCATAAAAGAGTATTAAAAATTAGCAAACCTTTTTTTCTTGAACATAACTGAAACCATCTTTCTTTCTCTTTTTTTGGAATATCAAGACGGTGTGAATGAATCACTGTATCTAAAGACGACAGCCAAGTAATATCTTGCACAGGTCTTCTTCAACAACTAAAAACAAAGTAGAAATATATACACTGTTGAATCTAAACGATAAGCCGCCGCTGTCATACGTGAGAACTGATGCGTAAGTGAAAAGAAGGGGAAAAGTCACATTACTTACGAGTATTTTTTAGTGACAGTTTCTTTGACTTGAAGAAATACAGCAATATTTTGTGGGGAAGCATTTTAAAAAAAAATGCATGAGATGAAATGGATAGATATTATTTGATGATAAATAATAAAAATTCTTTTGTCGGCTAAACCAATTGTTGGAAAGGGAGTAGATGAAATAATTATCACAATGATTTCTCAACCACAAATTACGTGAATTCGAGCTTCACTTATACACTCCAAGGCTCTGCAAAACGATGGAAGATTAAGTCAATTTTGCAAAAAGCAAAATCCATTTTGAAGAAAGTGAAAAAATTACTCTTTATTTCTAATTAAAAATTATTCAAATGTTTTAGGTTCTTTAGGTGGGATTCTCTTTTTTCTTTTTTTTTTTAACGGAATACCCAAATATATTATAATATAGTTTTTTAAAAGATCTCAATCTAACGAATTTAGACAAATAAAATGGAAAAATCTAAAACAGAACAACTTTTACAATTTATCTGAAAATGGCCTTATTCTTCATCGAGATAGCAGAAGATTCAAATTCAATTTAATTATTTTGAATATAATATAAAACTGATTCAAATCTAGTTTCGCTGCTTTAATATAAATCCAACTGAATTACTTTAAATGTAGTATAAAACCGATTCCAATCTAATTTAATTGCGTTAATACAAGTCCAATTCAATCAAAAAACTTTAAATATAACACGAAACCGATTTAAATCCACTTTAATTATTTCGATACAAAGACAACTTCGGACATAATCTATCTCACGGTTTGTTGCATGCAACTGCTGATTTCGTCAAATTAGTTTGGACTCTCGAATGCATAAAATAGTATGGAAATTTGGAGAGATTAGGGTTGCTCTAATTTTGGGATTGCATGTTGGAAGATGATGGAGTGATAAGAAATAGCAAAGGAATTTGTTGTTAAGCGTTAGGCAGTTTTGGAAATATTGCTATACACTGAGATGGAGCAGATTAGAAGGAAAAAGAAAAATGAGTGTACGATTGAAGATGTTGCAGAGATTGATGGAGCGATAGGAGATAATGAGGAATTGTGAGATTGTTACGGCTGATAATTTTGATAGCGATTGAGAGGAGAGCATTCAATGGATAGGGTGGAGGAGTCTGTCATCTGCTGATTAGGTTTTCTACACTTTTGATTGCTTAATTGTTCAATTTTAACTTTGTAACGAATGGAACAATTGTTGTTAAGTTGCCCGGTGCTAGTTGTTTTTTTTTAGCATGACCATGTAATAGTTATTAGACCTTCTGGCCTATTTGTTGCTGGCTTTCACTGGGCTTAAATACTTCAACATTATTCATAATTATGTATTTCTTTGCTTTTCATTTATTATTGGAGCATCTTTTATACATAAGAAAGCCTTAGGCTTAGGCTTAGGATGTGATGGAATTATTTTTGAAATGACAAAAATTTACAGATTACACAAGACGAAAGTAAGTGAAACTCAGAGAACGCGATGTACTTGTACAATTTAACATTGCAAGGTTCATCAGCAATTAATCAGGCGATTCATGGATCCTTTTGCGGATTACCAAAACAACAGGTGTAATATTTGGAGTTAAATTAAAAAATGTGAATTTTATTAGGCAAAATACATATAAATGTAATGGGCAGAGTTGTGTGTATAGTAAAATAGAATCGGTATAGTAAATGAAGAAAGATGCCTTACGCATAATTTATTTATGAATTCAAATCGTTCTTGGAGAAATTTATACAGAATAGACAGATAACAGATCTATTGCTCAACGAAATTACTCGCTGCATACAATTAACTTCGCGAGCTACCTGGTTAGAAAAATGTTTATTAACTGGAAGTGTCTGTACGAATGAACTAAATTACTTGTGTTGCAGGAAGTATGCGTTGCTCGCGGTAATCTACTTCAATTATTGTTTTGTGATCCAAAAACGGGGAAAATTCATGTTTTGTGCAGTCATAATACCTTCGGCATAATAAGATCATTGTTGGCTTTTCGTTTAACTGGTGGAACTAAAGGTTTGTTGATATTTAGCCGTTATTGAGTAAAAATTTAGAATTTTATTCTAAATTTCATTGCAGAGGATATGGGTTTTGTTTCCGACAATTATTTTTAGGTAGAACGTGTGATCGACTTTGCTGACTTGTAGTTTGTCTAAATTTTTCAAGAAAAAAAAGTTTCTGAAACACTTTTTTAGGTAAGATAGCGATTTATAAAAATATGCATATAATTAATTTATTATAGATTATATTGTTGTCGGTTCGGATGCTGGACGTATTGTGATCTTGGAATATAATGCACAAAAAGTATGCTTCGAAAGAGTTCACCAGGAAACCTTCGGGAAAACTGGATGTCGTCGAATTGTTCCGGGACAATTTCTTGCCGTTGACCCGAAGGGACGTGCTATCCTAATTGGTGGGTGTTTTGAAATATTGCATTTTAGTCAGAAAAACCAGCGTTAGAAAAGGGTTTGAAAAGCTAGGAAGTATAAATTACTTCAAGTAAAGTCGATATGAGAACAGAGATAAGTCGATATGTTGCCGTGTACGTGATAATTTACAGTTTCAGCAAAGACATTTTATACAATTTTTTTCAGAATGTTTTTAAATTTTATATTTTTTTGACTTTGCTACCGACTGATTTTTATTGTTAAAAGATTTTGCACAGAAATCATGTCTGGATTAATTGAAACATTCAAGCACATTAAAGAGAGTCAATTAATAAAAGTCATGATGTTTTTTGTTAGTGCCTGGGATTAATGTGCAGTTGCATTATATAAGGACATGTTAAATTATTTAAAACATTAATGTGTAAGTGGCGCATGAATGTTAGATTAGGAACTTTCTTGATCATAGTACGACTGCAGGCTGATGATGCCTTAGAATGGATTTGATGAGGAAGAATTATGACTTAATTACAAGACAAGCATAATCTTCGAAAAAGATTACGACTTCTGTTCTCAATTCATGTTGTGAATAGGTTTCACATTGAATGATTTAGTAATTTCCTAATTTATTAAATTTTTGTTGATATTTCTTAGTAATTTATTTTTGCAGGTGCCGTAGAGCGTCAGAAATTGGTATATATTATGAATCGGGACGCATCGGCTAATTTAACAATTAGTTCACCGCTGGAAGCACACAAATCTCATTGCATCTGTTACAGTGTCGTTGGTGTAGATGTTGGATTCGAAAATCCTACTTTTGCATGTTTAGAAGTTGATTATGAGGTAAGTGATGGTCCATGGAAATATTTTTGTGGAAATAATGTCAACTTTAACTATGGCAGAAGAATATGATCTACGGACATGATCTTCTTAAGCTTTTTTAATAGTAGAAGTATTTCATAAGATTTTTTAGAATGTTATTCACCACATGACTAAAATTTATTCATCTTTTTATATTTCATTGAGATTTCAAAACCAGTATGCAATGAAATAATTTAATGCATTGAAGGAAGTTGACCACGATCCTACTGGACATTTGGCTACCAAAATTCCACAAACCTTAACTTTTTATGAATTGGATCTCGGTTTGAATCATGTAGTACGCAAATATGCTGAGCCACTGGTTGATAAGGGAAATATTTTGGTCTCAGGCATGTCTATTTTAAAACCCTTCAAATTTTGATCAGCAAATAAATGCGTCAAACATTCATACAAAAATTTTTGAATTTCAGTAACATTTCTGTAATATGTAAATTGTTTTTTTTTACAGTGCCTGGTGGACAAGATGGACCGAGTGGTGTTATTGTTTGTTGCGAAAATTACCTTGTTTACAAAAATTTAGGTGATCAACCAGACATCAAATGTCCAGTACCACGAAGAAGAGTTCGTTTACTTTTTGCAAACTTTTCATTTCAACAGTTTTCTATTTTTCTTTCGAATGATACGTGTAGGACACTGATTGTTTTGGAATTTCTGATTACTACTTTAAGTGAATTTTCGATTTCAGGATTGAAAGGAGGTTAACACATGTTATGGATTAACCTTAATTCCAGCTAACCGATTTTGAGTTTTTTTCTTTTTTTAGAACGAATTGGACGACTGCGATCGCACCGTCATCATTGTGTGTTCTGCAACACATAAAACAAAACTAATGTATTTTTTCTTGGTACAAACCGACCAGGGTGATATTTTTAAGGTTACTCTGGAAAGTGAGCATGATATTGTGAGTTATTCTTACATGAATTTGAAAATTTGCACAAATATGGTCATACTAACCAGCATTCTCTGAAAAAATAATCTAATTTATTGACAACTTCTTTATCATTAGCTTTACTTACAGTTCAGCACTTCCTCTGGTGTTCAGTAGATTTTGTTAAATCAACTCATTATTTTTTAAATTTGATACTGATTTAATCAAAAAACAATACATATTTATTAACATTCAGTTTGAATGGGTTTTATCGTATCAAATTTTCTTTTTTTGGATGTATTCGTTGAAGTAGTTGAACATGAAACCTTAAATAGAATGTTCTTAAAAATTGGAGGAACACGTTGGAGCGTAAACATAATTTTTTCTTATTTTTATGCTTCTTTTGAGTTGCTTTTTTCTTTTAGGTTACCGAACTTAAAATCAAATATTTTGACACAATACCAGTCTCGAATGCTATGTGCATTTTAAAAACGGGATTTTTATTTACTGCAAGTGAATTCGGAAATCAGTATGTTCTTTATAGTTATTTCAATGACTTATATTAATCATTTAATTCTTTTTAAGATGGCGTTTTTTGTTCAGGAAAAATTGACTCTGAAATAAGTAACTTTGTACCTAACCACGCTTCATGTATGTTATTTTATGAATACTCCATCAAAGCATATTATTGTTATTTGTGTTCCTATTCATTTATACCAACACATGATATTTTTTTTGTCTCGTATTTTGGATGAGGTATTTAAAATGTATAAATTAATTTTACTTTGCAGTCATTTATATCAGATAGCACATTTGGGTGATGAAGATGATGAGCCTGAATTTTCATCTCGAATGCAGTTGGAGGAAGGTGAAACATTCTTCTTCGCTCCTCGTGGACTTACAAATTTGGCAGTTGTGGACCAGATGGATAGCCTATCACCGCTTATTTCTTCTTACGTGAGTTCTGAAGTTCTTTTAAATTAGTCACTATTTGGAATAATTTCACTTATTTCTTACTATTTGGCAGTTGTGGACCAGATGGATAGCCTATCACCGCTTATTTCTTCTTACGTGAGTTCTGAAGTTCTTTTAAATTAGTCACTATTTGGAATAATTTCACTTATTTCTTACTAAGGTAAGTGGTATATGAAATTTCCTTAAATAAGCTTTAATTTAAATTATGCAACTACCTTATGATTAGAATTTTTTTATTCAAAATTATATTTGTTTTAATTTTATTACCGTGTTCTTTTTTTAAAAGATTTTTCTTTAAAGTTACTTTACCTCTTTTACAGATTGACGATTTGGCTAATGAAGATTCTCCTCAAATTTACACGTTGGTTGGACGTGGCCCACTTTCTGCAGTCAAAGTGCTGCGCAATGGTTTAGAAGTAACGGAAATGGCTGTTTCTGAATTGCCTGGTAATCCGAATGCTGTTTGGACTGTTAAACGAAACATCGATGGTATGCTTTCATTTCAGTAGTTTGGAGATGAGATTCTAGATAAGCAATTTTCAAGATCTGTTTGCTTGTAAATATACTGATAAAGTTCAAGTGATTTATAATGTCTTGCTCCAACAAACGTTTGTTAGCAGCATCGTGAATATTCTTGATGATAAAGGACTAATGCTGAGATTATAGAGATATTTCGGATAGCCTCATAAAAAAATTATTGTGAGCTGATTTCAAGCTAAAAATTTTAGAAATATAGAAGAATGTATTCACGAATGACGGATTTTAGATAAATTTGATTCTCATATCGTTGTATCCTTCGTTAATGCAACACTAGTCCTATCTATTGGTGAAACTGTCGAAGAAGTTACGGATTCTGGTTTTCTTGGTACAACACCGACTCTTGGTTGTGCACTTATTGGCGATGATGCTCTGTTGCAGGTTAGTAGTTTCTTCTCTAATTTTTATGAGAACTTTTTTCAAAAAGAGTACAGGGAATGAAAATTAAAATTAAAATTTTGATTGGGCTTAAGCATCTACTTTAAATCCAATGAAAACTTTATTTCATCGGTTTTGTATTGTAGGTGTATCCAGATGGTATTCGACACATTAGGGCTGACCGGCGAGTAAATGAATGGAAAGCACCGGGGAAACGTACAATTATGAAATGTGCTTTAAATCGAAGGCAGGTAGCAATCGCACTTGCTGGTGGTGAACTCGTCTACTTTGAACTTGACGTAGTGAGACATTTCCTTCCTCATTGGTTTTTTCGTGTTTGTTTGTCGCTCATTTACTTGCTTGTTTTGTTCTCTACATTATTGACTTAGCATTCATTAAGTCGTGTTTTTGCTTTTATATTGTTGCTCTTTAAATGATTTTCTTTGCTAAATAATATCAGTTTACTTCGTTATCGTCGTTGTAGACTGGGCAACTCAACGAGTACACCGAACGACGTGAATTACCTGCGGATGTCCTGTGCATGAGCTTAAGTGAAATTCCTGAAGGAGAGCTACGGTCACGTTTCCTTACTGTAGGTTTAGCTGACAAAACAGTACGAATTATATCCCTGGATCCACAGGACTGTCTTTCGCCGCTTAGGTGACACCATTTCTGATTCCATAAAATACGTAAAACCTTTGCTTTTGATTAAGAAACCGATTCTTTCATTGGAATTGTGCAGAAACTTCAGAATTCTAATTTCTCAACGCATTAGATTCCAAAGTGAAATCGCTAATTTTTTTAAGCATGCAAGCGCTGCCATCGGAACCGGAATCAATTATTGTTTTGGAAATGTTTGGCACTGAGACACAAAGTGCGTCAACTGTTCATTTGAATATTGGTTTACAGGTTCGTTTATTTAAGGTTTTATTGAGATAAGTAGCGCATATAGTTTTTCAAATCTAAAAAATCTGCAATGTTATGTCACTGTGTGCAGGTAATTTTATTGTACCAAAATAAAAAATCAGTGAATATGAATTTCCAAAGTTTTTTAATGAATTGCCATGAAATTTGTTTATTGTAACATCGCTAAAGCAAACTATTTTAGAATGGATGTTTGCTGCGAACCACTGTCGATCAGGTTACGGGTGAGCTAACCGATAACAGAACTCGTTATCTGGGGACAAAAAGTGTAAAGTTGTTCCGTGTGAGGATACAAAGTAAAGATGCGGTATGTTAAGCTTTACATTTAGTTAATTTTTTTTGATTTATATTGTAAATTTGCAACACTTCATAAAGAAAATATTCAAATTTGTCTTGATTCAAGATGTAAACGGTTACTTAACTTCTTGTATTAATTTTGCAGAACAGTAAACGCAATAAGTGGAACATATGATAATATTTAAGGTTTCAAACTACCTATCAATTAACTATTTATTGCTTTCGAGAAACATTTCTTGCCATACTTAAATTTGACCAATTCCATTTTTTTTTTAGATTATGGCTGCGTCATCTCGAGCTTGGCTTTTGTATGATTACCAAAGCAGATTTCATCTAACTCCTCTTTCCTATGCAGCTCTGGAATATGCAGCAGGCTTTTCATCGGAACAGTGTCCAGAAGGGATTGTAGCTATCGCAGAAAATACATTGAGGTTTCTAACAATTTTAAGTTTCGTGTTTTGAATGAAAAAGTATCTCTGCTGTGGGATTCTTTCATGAAAATTTAAATAGTCATATTCATTGATTTTTACATACTTAGACACCTTTTGAAATATTTATTTATTTCCACAAAAACATTTTTTGTTCTTAGGATTTTGTCGCTTGAAAAGCTGGGAGCCGTTTTTAACCATGTTGTATATCCACTGGATTATACACCTCGCCGTATGGTGGTGCATAAGGCATCCGGAAATCTGATTATAATCGAAAATGATCATGCTGCTTTCACGGTAAAAGGAAAAATGGAACGTCGGAAACAGCTCGCTGATGTTCGTAATTCTTTTTTAAAAATTATTTCTGATAAACTGATGGTAGTAGAAAGTTTTTTTTTTGATTTCCATAGATGCCGGGCGGAATTCATTTTTGAAGGATAAACATATTAACATATCTGACGCCTTTCTCTCACTTCCATGACGTCAGAAGCTACATTAAAAAAAATTTATTTGGTTAATTTATACGACAATAATTTCAGGAACTGATGGAGGTAGCAAAGGAGGCAGAAGAAGCAGATCAACAAGCAGTGAAAGAAATGGCTGATGCAATTCGTACGGAAAAAATTGATGAAAGAGTTTATGGATCACCAAAAAATCAGAAAGGTAAAAATGCTAAGAATTTCAAAAATTGCTTTCATTATTATCCAAACTGTTAATTAATTCAATATGACATTTCTCGATAGTGTTTTGAATGCTTACTCGCCATATATTTGTATTGAGAAAGAGATTCTACCACTTTTAAAATCTCTACATTGTCAAATGTTTGCAAAATTTATTTTTAGGCAAATGGGCGTCAGCAGTTCGAGTTATGCGCAGTAACGACGGTGAAACACTTTCACACTTTCCATTCGCTGAAGATGAAGCTGCGTTTGCGTAAGTTTTGAAATATTTAAGTGTTTTGTAGAAGTTTTAAAAACATATTTGGAAGGAAAGTTTGACACGTGACAAGAATTTAGCAAAAATTTAAATATATGAAGCATGTTGCGGAGATGATCGGAAGAGTAAAATTGTGATATCCGTGATGACTTATCTAAAGATGATTCTGCATCTTATTAAGTTAGTAATATAACTGAAATATGCCCACCACTTGTTAAATTCCAGGATAGCAATGGTGCAATTTCAAAATCAAAGTGACACACAATTTGTGCTAGTTGGTTGTGGTTGTGAATTACAACTGAAACCGAGAAAGGCGAACGGAGGATGCATTTATACCTTCCTTTTGGCAGCTAATGGCACCACACTTCAGCTGCTGCATAGAACGTCAACCGATGAAGTTATTTTCGATTCTTTTCTTTTCTATTTTAATTTGGAATATTTAAATTCTGAGAGAAGCAATAATTGGGGAAACGATTATTTTTAAAATTAAAACGTACAGCTATGATATATTAAGTCCGAAATATTTTTAAATTTTTGTTTTTTCTCAGATTGTAATTCATGGATTTTACAGATGTTTCTTGCATCCAATGTTGAAACAATAATTTGTAATATTGCAAACTTCTTAAATTGCGTAAAATTTCATTTAGGTCGTCAATTCCATTCATGATTTTCGTGGAATGGCGTTAGCCGGAGTAGGGAAAAAAGTACGGCTGTACGATCTTGGCAAGAGGAAATTGCTTGCTAAATGTGAAAACAGGGTAAATCTTTTCTTTTATCTTCCCATGGTCTTTATTTATATGTGAAACAATTTGTATTACTTCGGAACACCAAGGATTTATTATGATTTAGCTCTCAGTTATAATATTATCTGAGGAATAAGAGCTGAAAAATCCTCCGTGGAATTCACTCTTTGTGATTGTTGTTGGGATTAGAAAAGATTATCTAGAATTTTTTTTTTGAATTCACAAATATGACAGATTTTCAATATTTCATCTTTGGAAATTTGTTGAGCAGGTAAGCAATTCCTTAAAGCAGTTCTTGAAATCGTGATTAAGAAGAAAGTAAATGATAGGATTTAGGGCTGAATTAACATGACTCATGCAAAACGATATGGACCAAGTATGTGGACTAACATTTAAAGAAAATCCATATAGTATACTGTAAAAAAGCCTACAAAATATGGCGCAGTTACTTATAATAGTAATCAGTTCAGCAGTGTTAATCTGCAGATACTTATTATCCAAAGTAGCATGAAATTTAGTTTTTAATAGATTGGGAGAAATTTGTAGAAGCGAGCTATGGTATTCGTCTTCGGCGATTAAGATACTGGATTGTTTACTGTAATATTTCCTGAAAATTTATTTTGTTATCTGAGAAATTTTGGAAAAAAGGAATAGATTAGGAAAATTGAAATCGTATTTGAAAATTGAAATCGTATTAAACAGAACGTTAATAGATATGGAGAATTCATGAAATTTAATGTCAATTTTCTTTTATTCTGACTTTCCCATCAAATGTCTGGAACCTTTTATATATTCATTGTTTAAATTTTGACTAAGATTATTTCTATCATTACAAATGTTTTAAATAATTCTTTATCGAAGTGCCCAAAATTTCAATACAACGGTTTCACAGTACGAGCAACCTAACATTATTGGAGCGATCAGTAATTCCTATGACTTAGTGAATTTTCCTTTAAACGTGTTTAACTAATTGAAAATGCAATCGTGCTCATTTAGTCAAAGTAACTTCATTAACTAATCTTTAGCATGTGACTTTATGTGTCTCATTTTTGAAAAAATGGGAATTAAATAAAAAGAGGAAGTCATAAGTTACCTTTCCATACTTCCTGTTTTCGGTCTCGTATCCCATTGTTCATTCGTTGTTTGTTTTAGAGAGTGAGGTTGGAACTGAAACTGGACTTTTCCTAATTTATTCAAGAAAACATATCAGTGCTCTGGAACTATACATATATTAAATACACTGCATTTCTTTTTACGACATAACAGAATGTGAAGTTCATTTCTAGGAAATTTGATTGCAAAATGGAAGCTGAGGGAAAAGTTTTTGAAGTTCTCGAGCTTTAACGAATTTTTTCAAGTGATTATTTTAACTTTCAGCTCTATAAAAGTTTTACTGGGGTTGCTCGTACTGAGAAATCGTTGTATTGAAATTTTGGGCACTTCGATAAGGAATTGTTTAAAACATTTTTAATGATAGAATTAATCTTAGTCAAAATTTAAACAATGAATATATAAAAGGTTCCAGACATTTGATGGGATACGCAGGAATGTGAGATGATCCATCCCATTTTCCTTTGGAGATTCTTATAAGCAACTATATTATGAAGCTAAATATAAAAAATGCTCTTTCTTTAAGGCGGTATAAATTCAAACCTGCAGTATTTCTCTTTCTGCGGAATGAATGTTCGGATCTGTACAATAAGTTCGATTGATCGCTTTTAATTGTACAGTTTCGTTTTTTTCATTCGTATTTCTAACGTTTTCTATGCTAATTTGTACGTTACCTCTGAAAATTTGGCTGTATAGAGAATTCTAAAAAGTTGTTTTACTAGTTATTTTCATGTAGAAGGAAGAAGCATTTTCCATCACTTAACAGAGGAATGAAAAACAGTTGTTAGAGCTAATTTAGAATAATGAGAACTGTTCAGTCTCCTTAATCAAATTTCTTTTAGTTATATCTTCAACTTATATTTTCTTTTAACTCACCGGGAAACCTTATGATTATAGTATAGTTTTTTTTTCGATCCATCAGTGTGAGATGATATTATTGGATCCGACAATGGAGTTCTTGTTACAGCTCGTCTTATATTTATATAAATTTTTGTAGAAATAAAAATTACAAGCACCATTGGTACATAGAAATTTAATAATGCACTGAAATCAAAGGTGTAATTTTTAGCTGCAGCACCCTAACTTTATATTTAAATGCAAAGTATAAAATTTATTGCATTGTACTGTACAATATGTGTAGTCATACTTTAACTCAAAGTAAAGAACTAAACTGCGCAGAAATTGAGTATAAGCTGTTATGCATAAAGAAAATTTAGTTGCATTCTTGACTAAGTAACTGATTAATTGCTTAATTACTGGACCATTCCAATTACTTTTCTTTGTCTATAGTCAATTATTTACCTGATAATGATGTATATTCTACCAGCATACACAGGAATGCATCTGCACTGGTGATTCACTGATTTAGAAGAATTTGCAAGCAAGAAACTTGGAATACATAACAAGAATGAACCCGTCCAGATAGCGACAACTACCATATAAGTCCTATCGTGAGTTACCAGCATGGAATGGTGTAGTGGTTTGGTGATTGCGATAAGTCGATCAATACTGATTGCAATTATGCTGTAAATAGATGTCGTACACAACCACATATCCAATGTAATATTTGTGATGCACCATAGGTCACCGAATATCCAATAGCCTTCCAGGATTTTATTTATCGCACTGAATGGAAAGATTGCTATACCAATCTGGAATTGCTGCATTATGGTTGTTGATTATTTTCTTTTCTTGTAAACTGTCTAGAATATTGGACCATATTACAGGTTTATTAGAGAGAGAAGCTTGAAAGAAATCATTTTATTCGAGTGCGTTTAAATCTGAAGTGGAATCATTAGTTTGCTTTAAAGCTTTCATAAGTCAGATGTTTTGTTTATCATGAAAGAGTTAATATCTTATCTGTCTACTCTCAATATTAACCTTTTCTTAAGAATAGATCAGTTTTTTTTCATAAGCTGTATTTAAAACAAAAGTTAGAAATTTATCTTTCTTCTCTAAAGTACAACATTATGATTTTTATTTCTTTCGGTAATTGATTTTTAAATTCTACCATCAAATCGGCAATCGCAAGTGATAAAGTGAGCGTTTTGGTAGTAGCACGTAGTCTTTTCTTCATCACAACATCAATAATAACCATTGAATTACTAACAACAATTACAAAACCCAGTAAAGCAAATACTACAATCGTGAAAAATATTTCCGAGAAATTTGAATTTTGCTGTGTTTTATTCCATTCCTCGTAAGTACACAGTTTCATTGACATTTGTATAGAAAATAGTCAAGATTTGGATAAATTAGAGATCAAAATCGAATATCAGAAATAGAATAAAATAAGTTGGAATCAAATGAAGTGATACATTTCCCGTCTTTGTTATTATGGATCCTATAATATTTTTCAAGTCACTATAGAGATTTTTTAAACTGTTATCTATGCCATGAGCAGTAACAGTTTCGGTTTACTTTGTTTAATTTTTAAATTACCTCTGAGTTACAT